TGGCAACTTTTGTTTATCCCTGCTTATGACAACGAAAACAACAGAGAGCAACAACCTTCAATCAAACCAAGAACAATACTGTCTGTTGGCAGATAACCTGTGGCTACCGATGTGGCGGCAATCACACACAAGAAGCAAAAGCGACAAGGAATTACGAGAGCTAGGCAATGCACGATATGATATGACGTTATCTTGGCGAACCAGAGTTATTACACCACATATACGGCGGGAATACTCATGGCATCAACAATTTAGGCGGCAACACAGGGTCAATCGATCTTACACTGTGTGACAGCACAAATCAAGCAGCAGCAAGGGCGGAAATGGTGACAAATCTACAGGGCAGCAAGGAGTACAAAACTCAAACGACAGAAAAAAGCAATATTGACGACACATTCGAAATGACAACAAGACCAAAGCTTTCATCAACAGTTGCAAGCTATAAAAAGGCAGAATTGACAACAAACGCGAGCGACATGAATCGCACAAAAGCAATGACAGCAAAAGGCAAAAGCATCAGCAAGATTTGGGTGAAACTGACAACATTTCACACGACCGTTTAGTGGATACAAAATAATAGTAAGTGTACAGTACGTGACTATTTGATCAGGCCAATACTTAATTAAACAGGGAATGATACTTATATACATCTCCTCTTAGTAAACAAGGCGGCAAAGGTGGCACAAAAAGTCGGCGATGAAGATTCATAAAAAACATCGGTATGTGCAGCAGGGATATCACGGACAGCAATGCTCAGAGCTTTTTGAACAAGCCAGTATTCATATTAGCCAGTATCCTTTCTGCTTTGGTGGGTCTATGTAACACGGTGGCAAATGAACAAGCAGCAGGCAGTGGCAGCAAAAACAAAAAAAACCGCCCAAGGGCATCAAACAAGACATTGCCTCTAAGGACAGTATCAGCAAGTGATTGATGGAACGACACGACGGCACTTTCACAATATCAATGGCCGAACGAAGCTGGCACGTCATCCATATACAACTGTCAAATATACAACAACAAGCAAGCAACGAACATTAAAGCGCGTCCGAAAACCACTACACGACGAGGGAAACAATCAAGGTCTCTTGATGCACAGAAGAACAAGACAAGACATGTGATCAAGATCTACACACTATGGACTTCCAAGCATACTCATTGGTTTACGGCAGCAATACAATCATTAGTAGGAGACTAACAGGTAATTTGAATGTCGATGATGTGAGGCTGAAACAGAAATATGATGCAATTAGTACCACTGGGAATACATACTTATCAAGCTCAAATGAATCTAGTAGTGAAAACAGCGACCAATGTAGCCGGGCATGATGCAGACAAGGAAGGACACTTGTTATCATCCTTTCCTTGTCATGCGTTGGCAGCAACAAGAAACATCACTAGAGAGAGATGGTGGCAGTCTCTATTCCAGTTGTGAATAATAGTGCAAATCAAAAAGGAGAACAATCACGTATAGTAGTATCGTGGTAAGGAAACCCAACGCACTTTATGCTCATTACTTTTGTAAACACTTGTGCTCACTGTGATTTTACTCTATCTTCTTTATTAGTGAAGGTCTCTTTCCACAAATCAAGATCCGCCAAAATTTACCCCTATTCTTTGTCTGACAGATTGCTAGTAAGTTATTTTCTATGTAATGATGGCCCCCCAAAAAAAGCAAGAAATCGAAAAAAAAAAAAAAGAGAACAGAAAAAAAAAGTAGTGTTAGTATAGTTTAAAAAAATATACAGTAATCAGCAAAACCAAGTCCGTGACACAAAACGCGAAGCTCAAGCCAATGTCAAGAAACGAAAAGGCGTCACTGACTTTTGATGGAGCACGAGGCCAAGAAGGCACACAAAAGAGGACATCAGTCGTATCATCGAATGGGCTTATTCATATCACACGCACAACAGCAGCGTTAAAACAAGTCTTGACAGATATGTTATACAAGCATATTCAGGAACCATCAACAAAACAAAGAGAAATCAACACGCAGAACAGCCAATTCTATTATCCACATCATACACAAAAACAACGTCAAGCCATGGCCAACACGAACACGCCATCAAATTAAACTGCACAGGACGAGCGAAGGGATTGGTAATATTGACAGTACGTACAAACAGAAAACAGCAACAGGTGCTCAAATTTCATCTAATCGTCACTATCTAACATAAAAAGCTCTTTGACGTTCATCTGTTTAGGCCTAAGACTATTTCCATCGCCAAAATAACCTCAACAATCATCAGTGCAAGACATAGATTCGAAGCATAGGAGTTCAACTTTCAAGTCGCAACTCAGGACAACGCCGTCTATGCAAAAGAGCGAAGTCAAGATGATCAACTAGGAAGTGCGAAAATATGGTTCGTGGCTCAAAAAAAAAACAACAGACAAACTGACGGTAATATGGGCTACTGAAAAATCGACAACACATCAAGACAGAAAGGCAGAACCAAGCAGCGAAGTGCCTGTACTAGTACTTTTGTATAGATCTTAAAAAAACAAGCAAAAAAAAACAAAAAAGAACAGGGGGCTATCATTACTTAGGACGTGAACTTACTAACAGCTGCAGGACTACACGACTCTTTTTTAAATACTCAAGTCAAAACATCACCTAGATTAGAAATGCATATATATATATAATTACAAATAAAGCTCTAAATTCAGTACAAACATAAATGATGTTTTTTTCAACGAAAAGAAAATCAGTGTTTGTAACCATATGTGAGTTTCCGAAGAACGACTGCCAAAGGCTCACCATGTATGTAGTATGTCAATACTGATATTAAATGAAAGCGAAAGGATTAGGAGCTAAAGTGTGGCTATATTTTCAAGTAAGGTACCTGCAACGCAACTCTTCTTCTGTATATCTCACAATACTTTGACATCATAAATTGCAAAGCAGTTATCCTGGGCTACATCGTTATACATAATGAGCCATAAAACTACACTTTGTACAAAGATGTTTGGATGTGAAGTAGTAGTCAGAGTAGCCTTCATAAGAGGTGACATTAGGAATGGAGCTATGATATCACTGTAAGAGGGCGATTTGTATGGTTATGATTTTCCCCTAAGAATCCAGTGAAACGACATATCTCAGAACGATGATGATCAATATGTTTCTCACGCAATCAATACTACCATGCTTTCTATGTAACAAAGCAAGAGAATGATTCCTACCATATCTACCACTTGCTCAGAAAATGAGAATGGGATTATATAATTACATCGCAAGAGTACCGTATAATAGAATACAGACTTCTTGCAATGGCTACTGTAGCAGCATGATGAACGTGCTGCTGTACATATTACGTGGTCTTTCAATCTGCTGTGTGTATTCATTTATGCAATCGCGAAAGCCATTTGTTCCCACAGTAGCGAAATAGACTAAGCTTCTTTCTATTATGTAAAAGTATCGAGAAGCATTTAGTTTGTTAAGCTCTCTCTCTTTCTTCTTCTTCCAAATTCGCTTGTTTAGCATTGATAACAGCTTATCGAATCCCATTTATACCTTCATACTACCAAGACCAAAATGACAGTTGGTGAAAAGCCTTTTGCAGGAAAAGTAGCAGTAATTACGGGAGCAAGCCGAAATATAGGTAAAGCGATAGCTACGGAGCTGGTTAACAAGGGAGCCAAGGTTATCATTGGAGATATCCTTGATTCCGAAGGAGACGTGACCGTGCGTGAGCTTAATGATCTTGCTGGGTTGGTATAAAGTCTATGAAATAGGAGAAAATATGTAAAAAAAATCGATATGATACGTTTGTTAATCACCTGATGGATTTACTATCAAAGCGATCAGGTTGCCGCTTACATCCATACCGATGTTACAAAGTATAGCAACAATGCCGCCCTTTTTCAGTTGGCCGAAAAACAGTTTGGTGGCGTTGATGTATGTATATATGCTTCTTAAATCACTGCAAAACAATCAACAGAGATCCTTGGTTATAACAACAGCGCATCTTTGTATTTCACTCTATAAGATTGCTATCTTTAACGCTGGAATTGGAAGCAATGCAAACACAATGTTTATGCCTCTTGATGGTACAGTACGCGTCGTCGATGACAGATACATAAATTACTCAAATATGAATTGTTTATGAGAGAAAATGCGATTTACTAACAGATGTCTGGTAATATAGATGAAATGGATGAGCGGATGATGGCAGTTAATACGACTGCAGTAATCAAGGGAAACAAAGTCGCTATGCTTCATCTTGCCAAACGAAATGGAGGCGTTATCATCAACATGGCATCAGCCGCTGGTCTTCGAGGAACACCGTAAGATTTTTTTTTTGTTGTTACTATTTTCCATCTGGTACTTTGAGATAATGATGATGATGATGGTTTTTATTTTAACTGTGAGAACATTAGAGCTGTAGGCATCTACTGTGCATCTAAATTCGGTGTTGTCGGATGGGTGCGCTCATGCGGGATTTACAATGCTGTTTGTAATGTTCGGGTGAATGCTGGTAAAGACTTTACATGACCTTTCATTAACAACAAATATGACCAAGCAGTTATTGTGTTTTCTTATACTCTTTTTCTTCAAACATTAGTATGCCCCACTTTTGTTGGTAAGCAGCGAGCTGTTTTATATTACTATTTACGCTATGCATTTAGTTTCCTCTAACCCTCTAACCCTGCTGGATTTCCATAGAAACCGAGCTTGCAGACGCTTTGGGTAATGCAGGCGATCAAGACCCGTTCGCTACGTTGGTTGAAAAATCACCAAAAGCTAAGGTGGAGACTGTTATTGAAACTGTATTAAAGTTTATCCAAGAGGAGGAACGTAACGGTAAGCATACAAGTTAGAAAGGACACGACTATTTTTCACAGCCTATAAGCTTGTTTTTCTGCGTTACTGATATTGGTTGCTTCGTACTCTTTCTGTAATATCCAGCTCAGACATTGGTTGTTCTTCCAGACGGTGTTATCAGTGACTATGATCAGCCAAATCCTTTTCGTATGAATTCTTTTCAGTCTTTTTTTTTTGTGTATGAGTAAACGATGTAAACACTAATAACGGTCACTCTATTCATAGCTGAAAGCCTTTCCAAGAATTACCCGGAGTACTTGGCGTCGGTGCAAACATACTCCAAAGAAGCCATTGCTTACTACAGAAAACGTCTCGCTGAAGCGCGAGAAAGATATGGAATATAAGACGAGAAGACGCACAACACCAAGAGAATACTGTATGCACTGTACACCACGTTGAAATATCAATGATGAAAATAAATAAATGAATTCCATGGTATAAGTAATCGGTGTGCTTTTCCAAATACTACAAAACTGTCTATAATAATCTGTTTATATCTTGGCCTTCTCATCCGACTTCTTCATCCAGCCGAATTCCTGTGTGTGTTTGAAAAGAAAGTGATCCGATCAGCAAAGTCTTTGCTTTTATACTTGAAACCTTTGTCTAGATAACAGATAGAACATACCAGCTTGGTTCTGCCTCCAGGCGCAATCATGACGTTAATTACACAAGCGTTGTCTTTGACAGCCAAAGCTTCGTTCAAGGCTTTGGCGAGCTGTACGCGATCCTTGACCAACCATCCTTTACCGCCAAATGCGGTCGATAACAGATCGTAACGTGTGTCGGGTAAAAGTGCTGTGGATGGCAGTGTTCCATCCCGTCGCGATTGCTCAAACTCTTCATTATCCAAACCGTGGTAGATACCGTTGTTGTTGATGACAAGAATAATAAGAGGAAGCTTTGATCGTACTGCAGTTTCAAGCTCCATAGCACTAAAACAAGAAAGAGGGAAACCATATAGCGCAACTTGTTCAGTCCTGTATTCTAATATGACCTGTCCGCATAATGATCAGAAAAATTAAAGAGAGAGAAAAGGTTCATTACCTGAAGCCAAATGCGGAATCGCCTACAATGGATACAACACGCTTCGATGGATAGTATTCTTGGGCTACGAAACAGTGACTTTTTGAGTTAAAATAGTAGGGATTCCCGGGGTGGGGGCAAACAGTCATAGTTCTATCAAACATCAGAATGAAAAACGATTCTCTACCTGCAATAGCATAGCCCATACCAACGCCCATGGTAGCAAAAGTTCCAGCATCCAAACGGTGGCGTGGCTCGTGGACATCAAAGAACGATCGAGCAATATCCATTGTGTTTGCTCCTTCGCTTACAAACACAACATCATTTGGGGGCAAAATATCCTTGATCACCGTGTATGCGGAATGATAATTCATGACAGCGTTGTCAGCTCCTGCCTTCTTGCGACTCGCCAAAGATTTGGCAACATTCTGCTTGACCTTGTCGAGCAATCCCGATACGTAAGCGTTGGTTGCAGGAACATGCGGCAGCGGCGATTGGCTGAGCAGCTGCGATACGACTGCTTGGATGTCGCCCACCAACGGCAATGTGTCAGCCCCGTTGTTTCCAGCTTCTTCGGGCAACACATCCACATGAATGAACTTTACAGAATTCGACCAACGTGGGGATTGGCCATAGTGCAAGATCCAGTTGAGTCTCGCACCCAGAAGAAGAACGACATCTGCGTCCTTGAGGGCCTTGGATCGGGCGGCAGCGACACAGAGGGGGTGGGTGTCGGAAATGAGACCCTTGGCCATAGGAGTTGGCAAGAATGGGATTTGCGTCTTGTCAATGAACTGGCGGATCTCATTTTCGGCTCGGGCATAGGCCGCTCTAAAGTTAGAAAATAAGGTTATGTCATCATCATCCGCATATGCAAGTAAATAAATAAATAAACAACTTTCATGTGGTAGTCACCCTTCCATTCTACACAACCACCTTTCCCCCCCCCCCCTTAAGAAAGACCTAATCAACCCGTTTACCCTTTTCCGACAATGATCAGTGGACTTTTGGCTTGGCGCAAAAGACCGATTGCTTGGGCGACACTTTGTGGATCCGCCAAAGTCTTTGGTGCAGCAGCAGGCAGAGCAGGGACGCTCTTTGAATACGAATCCACGAACCGATGGTCTTTGATTTTGTACTGGATAAAATCGGCCGGAAGGTCGACGTAAGTTGCACCGGGTCTACCAAACAAAGCAGCCCGCATTGCCTTTTCGACAGTAGCAGGGATCTTGTCTACAAATGCAGGTCGAGCGGCATACTTGCAGTAAGGCTTGCAAGCTTCGACTTGGTCGAGTTCTTGGAACGCACCCATATCCACTTGATCTGTATCCGATGACCCTGCCAACAGAACCATCGGCCAGCAGTTGACCTTGGCGTTTGCAACACCGGCCAAGGCGTGGATCACGCCGGGTCCTCCTACAGTCAAACACACGCCAGGTTGCCCGCTCAAGTAGCCGTACGCTGATGCAGCGTATGCGGCCGATTGCTCATTACGGAAGGCAAGAAAGCGGATTCCTGCAGCTATGCAAGCTTCGGCAACCTCAATGACAGGAATGCCAACAATGCCGAAAATGACCTTGACACCTTGGTGTTTTAAAGTAGCGGCAATAAGCTCGGCACCAGTAGCACTGGGGGGCGATGACTGTTGACTCGACATTGTGGTGAGTTTATTATTGAAAGGGAAAAAAAAGGGTTTGCGTGCGTGTGAAACGGCTTAATCAAAAGTATATGCACGCGGATGAAATAATACACGCTGAGGTCCAGAGTATAAAATCCCGATCCAACCGTTGCCACAATGACGCCATCCCGATGCCCTACTCAACTGACCGAATGAAAACGACATACGAGCGTCTTTATCTTTCTAACTTCTCCTTCTTTCATCATCCACAGACGAGAGCATATTTGATGAGCTGTCATAGTATGGTGTTCATGCTTGATGCAATGGGAGTAGGTTGATTGCTTTAGTAGTATGTCAGAGTAACCATGTAACTTCGTTGAGGATTCGTCAAATGATGGCTTGTTTATTATTATCATTGGTAGCTTTTTTGTTGTTAAAAATAAACCTGCACCGCTTGATCTGCTGCCGATTCGGAAGGACAGTATGGGCATTTGAACCGCATCGAGTTTCTATAGAAAGAAAAAGTGTCAACTCACACAAAGTGAAAAGTAATCCAATTAAACACTTGCCTTCCGTATCTGCTACTGCTACTTCTACTCAGACGCGTCAAACTTTCTCTGCAGATAACGTGACCACAGGGCATCATCATGGGTGGGTTCTCGTCTGTGGCCTGTTCTTTGCTGACAGGACATGCAAAGACGGAGTGGAAGCGCAGCTCGTCGGACAAGGGCAATTCGACCGGTAATTCGTCCTGTTGACTCCATTCTGTCTTTTTCATACTAATGATCTTGTACAATTTCATAATCACTGGAAGTGCTGTGGTACCGACAAGTACGCTATACAAGAGTAAGTTAGTATTCCTTCTTTTTCTCTACTAGTACGATTTCAAAGCATACCTTGCGTGCAATGGGCTTTCCGCACTCATATTGAGCAAAGAGCAAAAATCCTTTTGGAACTCATGGCAGATATCCATCCATAAAGTGGGTGAGCATAGATCTGCGTACGGAGAATTGCCCAAGTTTTGAAAGTAGATCATTGAAGTCATCATTCGCTGGATTTCTGTTCGTTTCATAGTGATTAGTATATACGTCTTTGAAAGCACACAAGCATTCTACTTACCAGCCATGTGCTTATCTGCAAAAGGGTCAAAGTATTGTCGGCTGTACGCAAGGGCGTCCATTGGCTTTTGCTGTGCGAGTAATTGTATAAAACGAAGTCGATGAAGATCAAATTCCAAGCTACTTCCGATTTTTACTAACTCATTATGATGTGTCCGTGCCCATCTTTGAGATATAACCGTGAATTAGTCTTATTGATTCTCCCTCTTTTTATTTTTACCATCGTATATAACGTGTCAAAGTAAAGAACATACTGTATGGCATTGCTGAGTTCATTATGATCTTCTAGCTCACGAAGGATCGTATACATGCGTTGGAACTCTTTCTTCAGCAACTCTGTTGTCAAGCGCAACTCGTCTTCTTCGTCAATACCGGCCTCCTGCATAAACGTATCACAAAGATCGAACTGGCCTTGTCGGATAAAATGGATCGCCAAAGCCCGACTCAGCAGGTATTCTTTACCAGAGAATGCTTCCGGGTTGGATATCACCGATAGATCTTGGGTGAAACGCTACATAGAATTCGGAAGGACAGATTGATCCGATTATTAAGTACACACACACACACACACACACATATACTACCATTTTCCCATCCAATCAACCTATTTGCTATTTACCTTCTCGATATCCTTGGAGAACTTGTTCACTGAGCCGTGAAACTTTTTTTGCACCTTGTAGAATTCCTTTGTATCCTTGCTTTTCTCCGTTATATCGTCATTTTTATTATGCGAGTCGCTGCTGTCTTTGCTATCTTTATAATATCGTGCGCGTGCAGTTGACTGTAACGTACTCATAGTATCCTTTATACTTGCAGGGTCTACAAAAAGCGGGTCATTGCACCCATTGTATAAAGAATACAATAGTTAAAAAAAATAGGTGTACTTTCTGCATAAGTTTCCCTCAACCCCAGCCATTACCTTTTTGAATGTTCTCTTTTGCTTGTCGTAAAAGATTGGATAAATCGTCAAGCCCCATAGATACTCCACTCTGCATTTTCGATTGCGCTTTTTGAATGTTGGTTGAATGGTTTAATAAATCCTCCATGACGTGTTTGGTATAATTGAATTGTAAAAGAGCAGAATATAAGAGCGTTATAGCACACATGGCATTACCACTTGGTTACTTTCAAAGTCAGCTGCATTTGGGGTGTGGCCACCAGAAAAAAGAATGTTGCTGCTGGTATACAGTAGCCTTATATTTCGCTAGCAACGCTTTAGACTACTGGCGTGCCTTAGTTAATTGAAATCCTAGAGTAGACGTTGGGTATCAAGCCAGTAGGAGCTCTGCATATTACGTAGAGAATAAGAATACTATTAATTAGGCGACGAATAGGTAATGAAGTGCACCAAGAAAACCGCGTCTCTTGTGTAAGATCCATCAGCATTAGTTCTGATTACAATACTGATATTGATACCTTAGCATTTGTATATCTAGCTTCTGAAAATAAGCTAGTATACCTGGTGAGCGGGCAGCAGATATGTGACCAAACAGTAAGATATGACCTGATTGGATGCAATTTTCAAAATACTTGGAAGAGGTTGATTCTGTTAAAGAAAAGCGAATGATTATATAATAATATAGTATAAAGGTAAATGATTCTCTACAAAAAAACTAGCGGGATGGGGATTATACACATACTTTATAGTTTTAACAATGTACAATAAAACACGCACGTTGGGGAATAATGATATGGAGATAATGTTGGTATACAGTACGATTCAGTGTTCTCTTGTTTAAACTGGATGCTTGGATATATTCTATTTCTGCCACTTTTCTCGTGCCATCGACTTGTATATGTGTCCATTCGGTTCTTGAAGTGATGTTGTGGATGATGATTCAGAGGAAGATGATAAAGATGAGGATCCTCCTGCCTTTTGTCCTCCTGCCGCAGATGATGAAGTTGTTGTTGTTGCTGCTGCTGCTGCTGCCGCCGTTGACGCCGATACAGAATCCAAAAGATGCATTGTCTCTGCTGCCGAGTAAACCACGCCACCCGTCGAAGAAATCATTCTGCCCATCAAGACCCTCACAACATTGTCGTACCAGTAAGATAGAATAGGAACTGCTTGTAGTAAGCCTAAGAATATGAAAATTGTTAGCTGATCTGCATGCCACAAATATGGGGTAGAAAAGAAACAAAAAACCATCACACGATAAGCATAGTAAAATGGTATAATATATACTGTACCTTCTAATGTCCAACTCTCTTTATGATACGCAATCTTTAATAACCCACTATCGACATCGGTTTCTTCAAAGTTGAGTGTGACAATGACAGGCAGCTGGAGTTGTACAAAGGGAAACAACCTGGGGCACAAGTTCTGAGTTAGGTACGCGACACATGTTTGACCATTAAAGCAGATGTTGGTAACAGTTGGTGGGGTTCTGTTTAATGCTTTCCAAAGAAGCAACACGCTGTAGAAAAAAAAAAGGCATTTAATGTTCTTCCTTGCTCTCTCTCAGATATAGTGTCCAAAAACAACGACAATGCAAAAACAAAACTCACTGTCGAATATTATATACACCGTTAGTGGCCAAGAGTGGGGATTCAAACGTAGCATCGTGGAAATAGTAATGATCGAGAATGCGTTTTTGTCGAGTGTCGTTATAAGAGAATAAATCTTCTACCACACCTACACTCAAAAAAAAGTTAAACCGGCTTGTTGGTACTTCACCTCCTACTTTTTTTATATCCTTGAGATAATTACGAGCAATAAGTTCATCGTAGGCATCGCTGTGCTTTGATCCACACTCTAAATCCATGATAATTCTGATCGAGTGATGGAGAATGAAATGTGAGACCCCGGGGTGGGGGTACTATAACTGCGTTATCGTTTTTGATCAAAGGAACGCAACCGGGATGCTAAAATAAGAGTATATCTTATTATAATGAATGAAAGAAGAGGGGCGTGTAGATGGTTTATTTCTTTTTTTCTTAATTCTAAAAGGAGAAAAGGACTTCTCCTGCTTTGTACTTTGGGCTGCACTTGCGCCCTGCTTCCACTCACTGTTGCATCTGGCACACCGGCCACTGACGTATCCTGTGTCACCCATTTCTACTCTTTTCTTCTCTTTTAGTCGCTGTATACTTGCATCTTTTTAAAAATAAAAATCGTTGTTCTCGATTCGACGCGTTATTATGCACTTTGGTTATTTTCTCTCTCACTCTCTCTGTGTGTGTGTGCGATTAGAGTCTCATATACTTGAACCTCCTCTTGCTGTAGGTTGTCCTTTTGAATGACCCCAGCAGCTCGATTCTGCAATGGTTTGTGGTAGTACAGCATAAGTCATGTTGCCAAAATTAAAAGTTTATGTTGCGAATATACCCTCATCTTTGTTCTTAAACTTTGAAAGCCTTTGATTCCGGCATCCACCGATCCCTTTTTTTTTATGTGAATCGCCTTTTAAAGGTTTTGCCCATCAATCGCTACAAGAATCCTAACAGCTGCTTGTGATACTGCACTTGCTATACACGGGGTCACCATAGTAACTTGCCAGTAACCATGGCAACCAGCTACAAGACGCTGTGATCCGTCGTTTTATTTTTTTTCCAAAATTTTATGCAGCTTAAGAAGGTGTCAAAACTGATGACGACGATATAGCAATTTTAAATGTGTTGGATCGGTGCGGATCGGACGCTTGCTATGTCTAAGACCATGACAATCGATGACTTTGGATTTTGCTACTGCAGGTATTTGCGAAAGTAAACATCCAACACTATACTCTTCGAACAACAACGGCAGTCATCGCTTGCGTTGCGTCGCTTTTCTTTTTTTTCCTGTGTTTTTTTTTTTTGATATTAAGAAAGTTACTATTTACATCTTTTTGCGACGGTACGCAGAAGGAATTCGTGGTCTTCGTGACGATCGCCCATTGCGAGACTACTTGGATATAATCAGTAAGGAGATGATGAGGTGGTGGCGCTGTCTTTTGCTTTGTGTGTACATTATAAGAAGCATGCTATTCTGAATAAGCATCATTATTCTCTCTTACAAAGGCGATATCTGTACAATATCTAGGGTGAGCTGATGCATTTAGGAAGACAACAACAACAACAACACACCACCTCCATTTAAGAATAAACGCTTTGTGATGTATTATGCTCTCTCCTTTACCATTACTAAATGATGATAGCTGAGAAAATCCGTTCACGAATTTCGTGTAAGGGATGTACAAGTAGAAGGAGAAGAGGTCTCACAAACATTTAGACATATAAACGATGATGGATCGATCATATAATCTACATGTGACAATTTTTTTTCTAAATGATTCATTTGCTTTTTTCGGTCGACAAACGATTCACAAAGCGAAAAAGATCATACTCTTTTTTTTTCACCCTTTCGTTAAAATGAATCTCAAGGATAACCTGATGAAATGGAAAAGATGCGTGGGGCAAAAGAAGAGCGGGGATAGCGCTGCAAGAAAGGCGCCTTATAATTATTTCCGGTGATGACGAAGATGATGAGTTGACACACACACACACACACACACACACACACACACAGAAAGCAGAATACTGGACAAAGGAGTGCGCGCGTAACTTATACGAGAACCAAAGAGTTTGGGTGCCAACCTTTTTTTTTGGGGGGGGAGTAGGTAGACAGCGACAGAACTAAAGGAAGGTGATACAACATCTCGCCATCTCGTTGGCGCGGTTGCTTTTATTTTCTTGATGACATCCTGTAATCGGAGGTAAAATCAGAGCAATTGGAATTGGTCAGTGCAACCCGGTATATACCCCACACGACGAGTGATTGGGGGAGCGACGCCATGACGATGAGACGGGCAGAGGGGCAAGTCAACAGTTCATCCACAAAAGTTATCCGACGACAGGCCCAAGTTCACTTATAAAGTACCCAAAAGTTTAAAGCTGGGGGGTGGAGAAGACTGCGACTTTTTCTTTCTTCTTCTTCTTCTTCTTCTTCTACCTTTACTTCTTTGTGCTTTTTATTTTCCTTTGTTTCTTTCTCTTTCTCTCGCCTTCTTAACAATAGTTCCGAATCAATAGTATGGCTGTCACCAACGCAATCCAATCCGAGAACAAGCCTACTCATCCTGGCTACTTCCGTATCGTCCGTCAAGGCACACCCGAGCAATATTGCTCCAAGTTGATTGCCGAGCGCGATTTCCCCAAGGGATCCGTCGTTGCTGAACTCAAGGGCTTGACGCCTGGTCCGAAGCGGTATTCCTCCGTCCAGATCTCAAAGACCGAGCATATCGAGCTCAACAGCGATCTGGTCTTCATGAACCATTCGTGTGATCCCTCGACGCACATGGATACCGATACCATGGCTGTCTGTGCTTTGAAGGAACTCAAGGCTGGCGATGAACTGACCTTCTTCTACCCCTCGACCGAGTGGGATATGGGTAAAGTATTCTTGTTGGAAAAAAGAGGGGATTGTGGGCATGTACATGACGCAAAAGAAAGAGAAAGAGTGTGGGTAGTGAGAAGCTCACCGCGTTAACTTCTTTTGTTATTTCTTGTATCAGCACAACCTTTTGATTGCTGGTGTGGTGCCTCACAGGTAAAAGAAAAAAACAAGTACATGATGCGAGTTTGATACGCTACTTGGAAGACAATGGTACTGAAACATTATCATTAAAACAGTGCGTGAAGCGCGTAACGGGCGCCAAGCACCTGCCCACCGAGACCTTGAGCAAGTTCATTCTTGTCAACCATATCAAGGAGCTCATCGCTGAGCGCGATCAAGCATAAACGTCGTATTCTTTACGATCCCCATCAAAAAAAAATACTATACTCCATATAAATATATCACTGACGTAAATAAATAAAGAAAAATAACACACAATACGGCCAAAAAGGCCGGCCGTTCGCAGGTCGAAAAAAAAAATTTATATGGTCTTCTCTCTTGTTGTTGGTTGTCGCTTATACTTGGGCTTTTGTTGGGTAGAGAAAGCCACACAGCCGATGTTGTAATCCCCTAGGTATTGCCATTAACGGAAGGTATCGGGCTTTATGTGTAACGTCCCTCTGTTGTCTAGCCACTCCATCACCATGAACACCATTGACGTCATTTGCCAACTATCCAAGATGCATGATAAGATGTCTTGTTTCTTTGTGTTTGTTTGTTTCGTTTGACAATGCGTTTTTTTCTGTTAAAATCTAACTTGTACAACGTTTACTCGGATTCATAGTCTATATATAAAACTGACAATTCGGATTCCTAAGGAGGAGGTAAAAGTCAAGTAGCTGGACGCGTGTGTGTAAGTACAAAGATGCACACTCTTACTTACGTGATGAAAAACCAATTTGCCGGATCGTGCAACCCGTGGAGTCTGGCTGTGGTTTCTCATTCTGTAAAAGTATCCTCTCAGCCATGGTTATCCTAATGACCATCAACCACTGCTGCTATGTAGTTTATCGACATGTGCTCTCAAGTATTGTGCATATTACCGGCACTGCCTATTATATGAAACATGCAACTTCATCTGCATCTATTTTTAAGTCTACATATAGCATTACGAGACTCTATGTACTATTAATCGAGCGATTAGTGGTGCTGATGAAGAAAAGAAAGGCGAAGAAGAGTAAAAGCGTCTCTATGCATAATAATAGTGTCTTAAAAATACTGGTTCCCTTCTTTTGCACAGAGACACTCTAGTACTACATGGCTGGTCATGAGGAGTATGCAGTCGCTGTACACTACAGAATGTACTATGCATCATCCACGTATAGCGGCCTACATAGAACGACGCATGCTGATGTCGTTGCTAAGCTGCTATACTTCTCATGTAGGTAACGCCACCGCAATCTTCAAGCGACTCCTCTAGCCTTTTTTTATCCCACAGAACCTCAGTTTTTCACCCTCTTTTTTTTTACTCTCTGGTATGGACGTGATGGATTGATGAATTAATGCTAATGACGATGTCTCTCAAATATGCTAAGGTACTGTTGACCTTTTTTATTTATAAGGACATCGTGTCAAAGCTATTGACATGAAAGGTTATCGATACGATCCAGCACACTTATTTCTCGCGATTATGCACGATAATATGGCACGCCTCATGATTTTTATTGAAACGGCAGTTTAGTTTTAGGAAAAGAAAAAAAAAAGGGCGCGATGCAGGTAATATTTCGTTTCATATTTTAAAAATGGAAACCATTCCACGTTGGTTTTGTCAACACGGCTCATTGTCCCAGAAAGCGGAAAGTTCCCCCCCCCCCTTTTGCTCGCTGCAGTTGCATATATGTAAAGTAAACGAATAGGAATCGCCTACCGCTGTCTACACTCTTTTTTTCCTACTACTAATTAAAGCATAGTAATACATATCTTTAAAAAGCAAGGGATGGTGGTGACAGAGGAGACTATGTGTAATATATAAAGACGATAACCAAGAAGCAAACTTGGTTTCTTCCCCTACGACTTTTTTTACATCCACATCCCGCTTTCTTGTTCATTTTTTCTTCCCAAGATACTTCTTTGACGGCTTTATATATACACCATGGAAGAGTCAACAGTGTCTTCAGGTACATAATGCCACACTTTGGCTCACTGTATACAAATATGTGGCGTCACTTCAACTAGCAAGTATGTACTAATGAACATTACTATATATTAGATACTTTTGAAAAAGTCAGAATCGGAAACGTCAGCGATTGCGATCGATCGAATGCTGGCGGTTCTCTGTACGCCTACTGGAACATTATATGCGTTATTTGCGGTGTCGGTATATTAGGCTTACCACAGGCCCTGAGCAAAGGAGGATGGGCTGCATTGACATTACTGCTGCTGTCTTGGTTTTTTGCTATCGTAAGTCTTTCCTTCTGTGGGACCATGCATCTACCATTTCCTTCGATGTGCTTACACACGTTTTTTTCCCCTCCATTGCATATTCTGTAGTATTGCTCTATTATTTTGATCCGCTGTTTATACTATTCTCGCAAGCAAGAAACCCGCCTGCCTTCCTTTACCGCCATTGCTGAAGACGCGTTTGGCCAAATCGGTGGCTATATTCTCTTCTTTTTCCAAGCATGGATTCTTCTCGGTGGTCCCGTCTTGATTTTTGTGCTTTGTGGTACCAACATGAACGAATGTAAGTATTCTGTTTTGATATCTTTATCATTCCAGCAGAAGAGCAGTTATAAAAATGGTTTTTTCACTAACAGTGCTTTTCAAAATTTGCATCATGTTACTATAGTGTGTCGAGGTACAAGCTGTCAAGTAGGAGCCGTACCGTGGACAATCATCTTTTGTGCTGCTGTTGCTATCCCACTCGTATTTCTCAAAAGCATGAAAGACACGGGCTGGACTAGCATTTTAGGCACAGTTGCTATTGTCGCTGTATCGCTGATATGTGTGATCATGGCCGGTCTCGATAACCCCAACGAAACGATCGGCATCGTCAACATTACTCACACCAACGTTATATGGGAAGGCTTTCCAGCTGCACTGTCTACCATGTCCCTCAGTTTTGGCGGCAATGTCGTATACCCCAACATCGAAGCCTCCATGAAGAAACCGCACCATTGGCCATATGTTGTCGCCGGGGCTCTTACGACCTGTGCACTCCTCTACATCATGGTAGCTGTTTCTGGCTATTATGTCTATGGTGACGCTGTGCTCAACCCTGTATACTACAGCATTCCAAATGGTCCTCCTCGTCTCGTTTGCATCGCTTTCATCACTGTCAATATCACCGTATGCGCCCCGATTTTGTTAACTTCGTTCGTGATCGAAGCCGAGGCAATGATGGGTCTTACAGTGGAACGTCTGGGTCGTGCTCGCGAATTCATCTCACGTGCCAGCTTTCGCATCCTGACAGCCGCTTTTTGTGGAGCCATTGGTTGTGTTGTACCTTATTTCGACCACTTGATGGCTCTATTCGGCGCCTTTGGGTTCTGTACTACTACGTTTATCTTTCCAATTCTCTGCTGGTGGAAAATGACTGGTGTGCGTTCCAAGCCATATTATCAGCTTGCTTGGGATATTTTGATCCTCATATTCGGTACTGTCGGTCTTGTATTTGGCAGCTGGTCTGCCATTCGAGATCTTGTCTATGCTTTTAAAAATGGCGCTTAAATGGGTATCTTGCTCAAACCTGTTCTTGCCAATTGATATTTCCTCCTCCTTCTTTGCTTTCCCCAGCCCCACGCCCACCACACGGCTCAAGGCGTTAGATTTCATTTGTAACAATTTTATGTAGACTTTTTAAAATCGCCACATACATGCACATTCACTCCCTGTATACTAGAAAAATAAAAATTTTCCAGCATCATCTACATATAGCATGATTCACCAAAACAGTGTAATGAACATGAAGAGTTGCGGTAGGTTTAATGAGTTATCTATGTCTGCCTCATTATACATATATTAATAAACTATGTATAGAGAGTATCTGTTTGCTATACTTATCACTTTGTACGGTGAATTATTTATCGATGAGAGGTAGAGATGAGTATACTGGCTCAATAATGATGTTCGGCTCATCATCCGTCAAAGCTCTTATACAAAAATACCGAGTCGCTATTGTTATTTACCGCTTTGCTTTTTATTTAAAAGTCTCAAACACTGTTCACAGTGAACTCTAAGAGAGTTCCATCTCAACTCACCAATGCTGTGTCTCATCAATTTATCGAGCAATTTAACAAGTCTATTCAAATCTCACAGACGAACAGATTGCCAACCCCGCGTCCACTGACTTGATCAAACAATGGAATCGCAACTGCTAGAACATTTTTGAGTACCTATGACATACAACAACATATCAAACACCCCATCTTTTCAAAGAATGGATCATGCCGTGATGCATAATAGCAACGCGCCGAAAAGCAGTATGTCGTATACTTGAGGAACCAAATTTATTTCCAAGAACCGTATTGCTTGAAGTATTTCAAAGCTTAGCATTTTCAATGGCTTGAGCCAAACTATCTTTGGCAAACTTGGTACCTCTCTTCCGGATTTCTGGAAACTTTTCAAGATACTCCTTGCTGACAGAGCTAGCTATAGATATATGAATAATGCATCATTTGCAAAAGATAGAATTAGAATTGTACTAGCATATTAAAATATGTGAGGTTTCCTCCCCTTTTTTCTCCCAGAGGTATTTTCAACCATCCTTTACCTGGTGCTATATATTTTGGTTGAACATGAACACCATCCGGCAAGGCCATCAATATGTCGCCTACACAGTATAATAAGAGCTGTTCTAGCACATATATAGGGAAAAAAGCATGCTTTACGTAGCTTTATCAATGTTAAGAAACTTACCGGACAAACGAGGATCTTCAATGCATCGCAAAAAGGCTTGCACTATTACCTCCATTTGAACTTTTGGTGAAAACTCAAGATAGTCGCTTGTTGATTGATCATCAAGGTTTGAGTTAATGTCGGTGTCACACACAGCAGGACATACTATTCGGTTGTGATTGCAGTAACACTTGTTAGCTTTTCAAATACACTTATATAGGCTGTACATAACTCTTTGATTTACCTGCATTAACGCGAACATTAGCAACATGTTTCATATGTGCTAGGCTACGCGTCCATCCGACAACAGCAAACTTAGAGGCGCTATATGCAGCTATCGGACTAATAAAGACGCAACTTAGTTTTTCTTGCAGCTATACAACATCTGGTTGTGATAAGGATATATACTGCTACTTACGATGCGGGCAAAACACCTGTACGAGTGAATTATACATGTCAGTCTTTTTTTGTAGTTTCTAAAGAAACACCAGAATGCAACTTTATATACATATTACTTACCAGACAAAGAAGCTGTATTTACAATAACGCCTCCTTTTCCACTCTTAGCCATATGAAGAAGGGCCACCTTATCGCCTTTTATTACGCCCCCCATATTAACCTCATGGATGTACATATCTGCGTCGTCTAATCTCAGGGAGTGCATAACATGAACAACCGTACCCGTCAGACTTTGTCAGAGTAAACAGACGCTCATTATGCCAATATTTACCATCAAGTGGTGTAAATATGCCGCCTGAACCCTTTCCAGTAATACCGGCATTCAAGACAGCTATCTAAGGTACAGAACCAAGTACGTGAGTGTTCATGTTGTGGTGTGCATAATCATGCTTTTAGGCACGCACATCAACGCCACCAAATAATTTCTCCGCCAATGCAAACAAAGCTTTGAGATCCTTGTACTTTGTCACGTCCGTGTGAAGGTACGCGACAACTTGCTTTCCTACTCTATATTTTTTAAACACCATCATCAATAGGCACTTATTTTTTTTATCAACTATTATATAAGGGATGTAATTCGTCTCTTTATGAATACCTCTCGTTTAACTCTCTTGCTGCATCCTCGCCTTGCTGGTCTAGGATATCGCCGAGCACGACCTTGGCACCTCGGTCGACAAGGGCTGCTGCAACATTATACCCGATTCCCCGGCTACCACCAGTAATCACTGCGACTTTTGAAGTAAAAGAATCCATGTGTAAGTTTTTTTGAGGGAGGAAAGGAAAAAGAGTTGAGTCGTTAAAAGTGAGTAGAGGGAAATAGGTACTGTGTGCGAAGATGGTTCTATACTCGCTTGTAATAAAGAATTGCCCTGGGAAAAGATAGTTTGCCGATTTGTCTAGTGGAACCTAAACTTCGGAATGAAAGTTTTTCCATGTAATCTTATGCAGACGAAATTATATTTGTGCACTGGTTGTGATGATGGCAACAACAGCAGCAGATAGGCACAATATACACTTTTTTATGATTTATGTATAATACATGCTCGTTCAATTTCAGTACAGCCTGAGACAAAGCACTCTGGGTAACGTGTATAGCAGATACTGAAAGTTTTATAATATTGACTATCGTTAATTATTATTATTTTCGTTCTTTTTGATAACCGGGAATATCTCATAATAGGATCAGTATGGCGAATGGTATTCCAGAGAGTAACACAGTATGCAAACGAAATTGAAACCCATCCGCTATGATATCTGATATTTGCATGCTCTTCTATTGCTAATTCGATAGTACATATCCAACCATACCAAATCTTTCTTGCTGAGTGGCCTACTAAAACGGAATAATAACCGAGCTTCTCTGAGACAATATTAGGTATGTAAGTGTCGATAGGAGCTAAGCTCAAGATACTACTGATTACTGCGTACTTGCCGCCGCTAAAGCCAGGTAAATGAGGTTCAATGGAAAATTCATGACCAGTATATCCACCAACCCGTAATGTCGTCCATCGTCCCGTCGGCGTTGTCATCTCGTGGGATGATGAAGAATCTGTTGTTACGGAGAAATTATCATGAAGAGTTGCAAAGGCAAGTCGTCGAGCGTTCTTGTTAATGGTTTATTCGGTTGAAGAGATAAAATCATCGAGACAGACCATTGCAGCAAATTTTCAATGACCGTGTAGTTTTGATAGGACGTCCCTAGGAAACTGCTTTTGTATCATCGCTAGCCACACGCAGTAACAAGTGCTTCCCTTCGATGCCGGCCCAAGACGGTAGTGCAACCACAAACATTGACGCTCAAGTCTGGATATAAAGCGTATAACTTTTTTTTGTTATCTATACGATAAGAAAACTACAAAGACTCGAGTAATAGATGGGTAATAAGCGTTATCGTAACCGGCGAGCTTATTGTATGTAACATAAACGCACGATACAAAAGTATCACATATAAAGGGCATAAAGCTTTTTAGAGTTTAGCAGCTTTAATAGCTTGAGCTAGTTTTTTCTTGGTTTCCTTATTTCCATCCTCCGTCAACTGTGGAACTTTTTCAAGGAACTCTGATGTGAAACAACACTCTAAGACATTAAAACATTATGTTAATCACTGTGTGTATAAACGTTTCTTTTCACCTAAAAGAAGCCGATAACATAATTAACATACCAGGTGGGATAAAACTGGGCTGGACGTGGATGCCATCAGGAAGAACGAGTAAAGTTTCGCCTGTTGTACATAATACACTCGGTACGTTTACAAAAGCATTCACACAAAAAGTAAAATTCAATTGTTATATCTTGCGGAGCACATACCAGCCATGTCAGAGTCTTCAATACACTGCTCAAAAGCTTGAACTACGTATTCCATTGTTGTCTTTGGAGTAGCTTCAAGGAATCGGCGGGCGACATCACTGGCAGGGTTTGCAATAATGTCGGTTTCGCACCAGTAAGGACACACTTTTAACCGGTGGTTGGGTGTTACATTAGATGAAGATCATATCAGTCAAGAGAGCTGTGGAATCGGTCTTAAAACAATGCATATACCTGCATTAACTCGGACGCCGCATACACTTTGCATATTCACCAGACTACGTGACCATCCTACAACGGCGTGCTTGGTAGCACAATAAGCAGCGATTGAACTAGTACAGATCATTTTGAGTGTCTGTCCTGGCAATTTTATAGCTATGTTCCATATGATTGATTCTATTACACTTACGGCATGGCAGAAAAACCTGCATAAAATGATAAATTGTGCTGTTATTAGCTTGACGTCTATCGCATTCCCCACCCGGTCATATCTGTTCTTACCGGCAATAGATGCAGTATTTATGATGATCCCCCCTTTTCCACGCTTTGCCATATGCAGGAGAGCAACTTTGTTTCCCTTTATCACACCCCCGATGTTGACTTCATGGATTAGCATATCCGCACGGTCTAAAGCATGATAATGTCATCAATGATGAACGAGTTACGTCTGGTTTTCACCACCGCATATCTATGTGAGATTCGAGAAAAGAAATACCATCAAGTGGAGTAAAGACGCCTCCAGCAGACTCTCCTGCGATACCTGCGTTTAGCATGGCAATCTGTTAAAGAAATAGTATGGTCATGAGCTAATAACTTCTCCGAATATCTGGTAAGTTGCTTTTTAATGTTACATCGACACCGCCAAATGTTTTCTCCGCCAATGCAAACAGTGCAATCAGATCCTTGTACTTGGTCACATCCGTATGAATATATGCTGCCACTTGCTTGCCGGCTCTGAGGTAAATATCTTTTGTGTTGATGTGCCGTCCGAGAATTCACAATAATTCTGTTGCTTAAACCCTTTTCATGTAATTTTACCTGGTGTTAAGTTCCTTTGCTGCAGCTTCACCTTCTTTGTCAAGGATGTCACCGAGTACAACTTTGGCGCCTTTGGCAACAAGGGCTGCTGCAACGTTGTAACCAATACCACGACTCCCACCAGTTATAACTGCAACTTTTGAAGTGTAAGGATCCATGCTGGTGACGATGTGAGCTCGTTTTGAGAGTGAAAAGTGAAAGGAAAGGGAGAAAAAAGTGTGGCGTCTTACTATGAGTTTTATAATTGTATTTTGTGGGGGGGGGATGAAAAATCAGGATCCCATCCCATAATTAGATGTATTGGGATGACACAAATAGGTAGAGAAATTGCTGGCTTTCATGCAGTATAATGATTAGCGTGCGAGAATATACATTCTACTTGTCAGACTATTTTAGAGGCTGACATAATTAGGCATAAATCGGCTCTGCAAACTATGTTTATCATAGAACAACAATGGATGTCGCGTATGTATTTCGTCATTAATGTATATTCAATCGAGAAGGCTCTACAAATACAGCAAAATGTGTATCAATAAGGACATAACAAGGCACATGCAGCAAAAAGACTTCATAGATATCACATTTATTGTGGGTATAGCGGCAAGCAAATGGAGTCAAAAGGTGATTATATAAGGGCTTATTACGCGTGTGAGAAAGAATATCCTTAGGGAATAGGCATCCGATCTCATCACTTTCCAGTCCTTGCGTTTGTGAATAATGAACTGGCCTCCGGACAGCATATATGCTGGCTGCATACGAGTGATTGTGCATCATTTGCCACCGCCTTTGTCTGTAATTGTCTCATAGTCAATTCGAAGAATAACTTTTTTGTTTACATGACAGTGGCAGCTCACAAACTATACTTATAGAAAAAGTAATCCCACGCTCCGCGCTTTTTGAGTTTAAGAACTTTTTATTAGTATCTTGTTGAAGAAAGGGTAAACAAAATGGAGTTGCAATGACGAGAGAGATACAGTGAGAGTGGTAAATTTCGTCACTTTAAAAATATTTAATAAAGAGAATCTGTTTATTTATCAGTTTTTGTTTCACTTTCATTTTTGACTTTGTGTTTTTATCTTGTTCAAAATATTCTAGAAAGATTTTTTTGTCATCTTTTTCAAATAGGAAAGCTGTCCCTGTTAGAGACTCGGGTGGTCTTTAGGGGAACCTTTACTAGATCAACGAATGATACAATAGAAAGAGGGTTGTTCTTTTATTCTTGGCCAGCTCGACAGCTTTTATACTGCCGAGCTCGGTTGCACAATGTTACTAACTAGGATAGCTATTACAACTAACAGCTATTACTGAAGTCGGTAACACTCACCTTGTACCGATGGAGGCGGCGAGGTTACGTGTAATCAAAAACGACGAGAGGAAAAACCTAAAAACAAGAGACAAAATTGTGGCCAAACTGTAGCAAAACTGGCCTAAGCACCAACCAGTTTAATGAAGAAGACCGTTTACCCATCTCATAAAGAATTAATACATACCTTTTTTTGTTTTTTATAACTTCATGTTTTTTTCTGTGATTTATATATCTTTATAGCTGACGTGCTATTTCCATACTATGTTGGCAAAGCATTTCTCTTTTATCATATTCTATTCAATACTTATAAATTCTATAAGCAAAGCCACCCCCCGGACACATATCAGTCATCGATACGTAGAACATACTCCATAGGGGCAAAAATATATATTATTTGCACGTATAAACATATTCCTGTCCATATTTGTGAAAAAAAAGTACTTACCATAGTTTTAAAATAAAAGTGAAAAAGAAGTTATTTCAAAAAAATTAAGAGCCATTATTTAGGTAGCTTAATCTGACCTTTCTATTTCTTTTTGTGAAAAAAAAGTACTTACCATAGTTTTAAAATAAAAGTGAAAAAGAAGTTATTTCAAAAAAATTAAGAGCCATTATTTAGGTAGCTTAATCTGACCTTTCTATTTCTTTAAAAAAGGGACAATAATTTTTGGTAAAGTGACATTTATTTATTTTTTGTTAAGAGAAAGGAGCAGTCTATATAAATCCAAATCCAGTCGAGCATTCACTGATGGCTTTGAACAAATTACTACGAAGGCTTTCATATGAGTCATACTCTGGAAGATCGACTTGATTGAAACTACAATAGGGTCAAAGTAAACGTTAGCTATCGGTTCGAGTATCCAAACAAAACCGCTGGGTTAAAAGAAAAGGGACATACCATGTGTGTGCAGACGGTAACCGGTTTTCACCACCAAAGTCCTTGTGGATTTGGAAGCGTTGAACACCTCCTGAGCCCTGCAAATGGGCAAAGCCTTCTAATGGCACCTTAGACGTGCCCGTAGCAAACTGTAGCAACTTGGCCCGTTCTTCCTGATCAAAGCTTCTAACAGCACGCCAGAACCATTGTACTTGAGGAGTCGCAGCTGTATAACCGCCTTGGTACTCTGTGTTGTTCTTCCAGTCATCAATATCAATATCTGGCAGACCCGAAATCAACAATTCCAGCTCTTGTTCGTTGAAAATCTGGATAAGCGATGCAGGGATCACGTCGTGGAAGCCTTGCAAGAACGCATTGATCTGTTCCTTGATGGCAGTCGTCAATTTTTGTTCTGTCACCAGAGCGACGTACTCATGCTTGTTCTCCTCGGTCACAGGAATGTCTCGTCCACCGGGCTTCAAATCAATCTCCTTGGTAGTGCCAAAGTCGTCCGTCTCGATGCTGAACGTCAAGTCAATAATATCCGTAATGTCATTATCGAGCATCCACACTAAACTCTTGTAATACTCGGGATCCACAGCTTCAACGTCTCGATAATCGACTTGGCGGCAAAGAATGTGTTTGTAGAACGAACGCGTAAAGTAAGCGTCCAAGAGTCGTCCATCGTAGATAGCCTTGCCAATGACTCGACCAACAAATTTGAGATAGCTCAAATGATCAGGGTTAACTGCTGAGGCACGGTTCGGCTGATATGTAAGCTTGTCCGCCGCTGACGTGATGAACAGAGCATAGTTGGGATCGAACATTTGGCGGGCCAATACGGAGAACCATTCGCGAGCAACGCCGCCAGCATCAACACCTTCTTCATCATAGAATCTTACGCTGAGCTTGCCAAACTTGATCTCGTCACCGGTTCGACCAAGGAGCTGATGATACGAGTCTTCGAACACATACTGACGGCGCACGTTCATTTGCAATGGCTGGTAATGTTCACGCGGACCTGTGCGCTTGTGAAGCTGCTGCACAAAGTAATTACGCTTATTGTCAAACTCGAGCATCTTGGGGTTGCGGACAAGAAGAGAGAAGGAGCCAATCATCAGGGATGGGTTGTTGCGGACCATGATGTTGAGGATCTTCTTGTGCTCTTCGGTGAAAGAAAAGAAGAAGTCTTCAGACTGATCGCTTGGTGTTGGTGGGGGATGCTGTTGTTGCTGACCGCTGGGTGATACAGGACCAGCAGGTCCGCTACGTGGCAATGATGACGGCTGTTGTTGACCCTTTTCAGCTGCGTACTTGGATACAACCATGAACGACTCGATAAGTGGGAGCAAAACGGTTGCGACATTGATAAGGTCGTCCTTCTCGTGAATCACGGCCAAGCACTGTCCAAGTAGCTTCCACAATGGCAAAAAGTTGAGGTCCTCGTAGATTTCCAGCACACGCTTCTCGTTCTTGACCTGTTGCTGTTCGTCGTCCTTCTTTGCTGCCGATGACTTGCGAGAGTATAAATAATCGATGGTCTTGAGCACACGCAAAAGCTTGGCTTGATGGGAAGTGGCTGCCGAGAACTGAGACAGAGCGGAGCCTTGGATATCTGTGCCAACCATGGCGTTGTCCAGATTATCCAGCAAATCGCCAAGATCGTGTACGATCTGCTTTCCTGATTCCTTTGCGTTCTGCATAAGCTCGTTCGTGATTGCCTGCTGAGCACCGTCGAGGGCAGACAAGTGGGCAAGTGCGCTCAGAGTGTACTGGAAAGTCTTGCTTGAGCATTCACCCGACGTGAGTACGTGCACCACAAGCTTGAGGTAGTGGTCTGGAATTGTTGGCGGCTTTGGCATGGGTCGCTCGTCCTTGGAACCTGTGCCCTTGCTAGACTTTGCTTCATCCGTCGTTGCTTTGGTGCTCTCCTGCGTCTGTTCCTGTTTCGCGCCCTCTTGCTGCTGTTGTTGTTGTTGTTGATCCTTGGATTTCTCTTCCTCCTCCTTTTGTTTGTTTTCAAGTCTCTCGACGTACTTCTTGACAAGCACGGGGAACGGTCGGCAAATGGTGATAATCAAATGCATCAACTCTTCCATCAAGCTCGGGTTTTCAATGAACACAGGTCGATCGAGTAAACTCATCAGAACCAACAGCGGGTATTTGCTTGACGGAGTCACCTTTTCTTTGGCTTTACCCTTGCGGCTGCTTGTGCGCTTCAAACCAGCAAGACAATCATTCTCCACCAAAAAGTAGGTGAGAGACTGGTCGTTGGACTGGACAACTTGCATCAAGAATTCCAGGCACCGCTGAGTGATCAGGTTAGGAACGGTCTCAGTATTGGCTGATGTTGTAGCCGCCACCCTGGACTTGGATACTGGCTTGTAAATACCCTTGGACTGGAGCGACAGTTGGGCAAAGCTTCGATCGACAGCTGCGAGATCCCCACTACCGTCGTGCAGGACACAGACAAGGAACGACAACAAATCGCTGCGGGTCTTGTGATTTTCACACAAGTTGATCAACAACTTACTCAAAACTGATTTGGAAATGGATTGCGGTACAAACAGTAAACGTGCCAGTGTGGCAAGCTGTGATCGGTCGACAAGTTGCATGGCACTACGGTGAACACCTGGTTTGCGCTGGCCACTGCCGCTGCCTCCACCAATTCCATCCTGCGCCTGCAGTCCTCGGTGAACGGCTCGAGCCCCTTGACCACCTTGTAGGAAACGTAAGAACGGATTTTCTTCAACCGTCATACCTGGCGGGAAAAGTTCATTGACAGCTGCATCAAGACGATTGGTCAAATTATTGGTGTTACCTGCACCCTCTGCCGTAGGCTCCTGGCGCTGCTGTCTGTCGCGTCGTTCACGCTCGATGGCTTCTTGGTTAAGCACTTCTTCACGGATATCCGGTGGTAAAGCATCCAAGAACTCAGAGCTGATCGAATCGGTTTCGGGCGCTTGGGTCGAAGAGCGACGTTCGCGCATATGTTGGTTTACAACTTCTTCGCGCAGATCGTCTGGTAAGGCTTCCAAGAATTCAATATCAATACCAGTGCCAGAAATATCGACTTCTTGGCCGCTAATGGTGATCGTCTGTCGTTCTTCCTGCTGTCCTTCTCCTTCAGCATTGCTTTCGCCGCTTTGCTGTACTTGTTCTTCTTCTGTCGTTGATGCTGGAGCACCCGTGCTGGAAGATGTTGCTGGTGCTTCTTGTTGTTGTGCAGTGCTTTCAGCAGCAGCAGCAGCAGCAGCAGCAGCTGCGGCGGCGGCGGCGGCTTCCTCACGTTGTCGCTTCTCCTCCTCAGCTTTCTTTTCCTGCTCTTCTTTTTCACGACGCCATCGCTCTTCTTCGGCCTGTTTGCGCTTTTCTTCTTCAAGACGACGTTGTTCTTGACGTTTCTTTTCTTCTTCGATGCGCGCCTTCCTGTCATCTTCAACAGCAATGGGAAGCAGCCTGTTTACGAGCGGATAAATAAGCTTTGATGCCTTGTCTGCAACAGCCGCGCCATACATCATTCGAGCTTCTTGTTGCCATCGATCTGATGAAGACATTGGTTGGAAATCTTGCAAGACCGCCAGCATTTCACGGCTTTGGTCAGGACTATGGGACTCGCCGGGAGCAGGATGATGAGACGTGGATGGAAGCGGTCGTGGAGCATGCATAGGATGGTCAAACTCGAATGTTCGCATAATGCCTCCAGTACGGCCCTGGACATCGACGCGCAGAGCGCCCGATTGGCCACCGCTAGGTGCTTGAGTCAAGAAGCTTTCGAGTAGTCGGATGGCACTGCCACCAAGGATATCTTCAAATGCTTGCCATTGGCTGAAGCCGCCAGATCTAGGCCGGTTATCAGCATCAATGTTGGCGAGCGAGCGTCCAGGCTGGGTGCTCGGGCCGGCATTCTGGCTTTCGGTCAAGAGTGGGTGAGTTATGACATCATCTTGACCAACGGCGGCGGCAACATTACCGCCCATGGCACCAGGTGCACGGAACGATCGGCCTATAGCTACAGTGTATCAGAAGAGATATGACACAGCATGATCCATAAACGATAATGAGAACAAGTGGAAAAGGAAGGACATACCAGGTTCGACAATAAGTCTACCACGGTTCGATGGGCGCTCGAAGCGTCGGAAGTTAAAGGGTGCCATGGAGCCCGGTCGCCCATCATCTTCGAGAATGATGCCGTCTGTTGGAAGATCTTGGGTCAAGAATGGATTTTCAACATCCTCGTCGTCTAGGAGCACGCCATCGTTCAGATCATTCTCTGCATCCTCAATACGCTGTGATTCGTCGTCTTCGTCAAAGTCGGATTGATCCAAAGTATCGAGTTCATCGTCTCTGCCCTATTGGGGAGCAAATTATACATAAACAGTTAATGACCCTATTCAATGCATTCACCGTTATTTGGTTATAGGATGTCTTGGCTCCCTTTTACCTCATCACCGAATCCATCATTTAAGTGGCGGTGACGCATATCATGTGCGTGGTTCGATTCAACGTCATCGGAATCCATATGAATGACATCGGGGTCATCCTCAATATCTTCCAGACGCCATGTCATTTCCCGGCCTTCTTCGTCCATTCCATCAGAATCGTCCGAATCGCCAATATCTGAATCTCCGTCCGTGTCATGCGTGTCGTCGTGCTCGTCATCATCAGTACCGTTCTAGAGATGTTTTAAGGACTTGTCAAAAAGGCACAATTCTTCACCAATCTATCCACTCTTTTTTTTCACGTTTGGTAATTTTCCTCACCTCATCCACATCTTCTTCCATGTCAGTATCATAATGATGCATCAGTGCACTATCCACATCGTCTCCTTCTTCGCCATCTTCGCTCATGTCTGAGATGTCGCTATCTGTTTCTTCATCGAACTCGTCTTCATCGAATCTATAAATCGATTTTAAAGAGCCGTTGAGTAAATAAACGCGTAAACTGTCGCAGTATAGTGCTATGTAAGCTTACGTTTCTTCATCTTCTTCTTCGGAGCCGAATTCGTCCATTTCATCCTCTTCCATTACACTACCATCAAACATGCCAAGAGCGGAGGTGCGATACAGATCCGGCATTTCTTCTTCACCCTCAGCACCAGTGTTCGCTGGTACATAGGACATCTCTTCGCGTTTCTTGCCATCCTCCTTTGCTTCGTCCGATATCTTAATGGCCATCTTGGTAAGTTGTTCCAAAGGACGGAGAACCGAGTTTAGAACAATCTTTGCATGCGGATAGTTGATATCAACCTCGCTGACGGCAGCGGTAAGGGCGCCAACAAAGTTTCTATCGAGCATAAGCTTGGCAATGCTAGTGACAGTATCGACTTGAGTCCGTTGGCTTGGTGCACCCACTGCGTGAAAACGTGCGTTCAAAACACGATGGCAGAGTTCAGACAGTGCCAGAAACTTGCCATACTTGAGTACCAATGGACCCGTGTAAGTGAGCGCGTCCTTGAGCGAACGAATGACACCGTCCAACACAAATTTGCGGACTTGCGTCAAGTCCGATGTTTCTGCACCACCATCATAGCACATGGCGACTAGGACAGATGCTGTCCACATGGCCATGCCTTGCTGTTTGCGCGATTCTTCGGCGGTTGGATTAGTAGCGTTGTAGGGCAACAGCTCGTTGACGAGAATATGCAGAATGGCATGGCGTGGACGATTGCTGCTGTTGTTGTTATTACCGTCCTTGCTGTTGCGTCGGCGACCGAATGCATAAACGTCGTATTTGCATGACTTGTACGACGAGATAAGTTCCACAAGACACTGCAAAATAAAGGCTGTGTACCCACCCCGAATATTTTCCGCTTTCTTTTCAGCCTCGGTCGTCTTCTTCTCTGGTGCATTCGCCTCTTCAGATCGAATTTGAATCAATTCTTGCAGCAAGTGGTTAACAACAACGGACGAGCTTGAAGAGCGTTGACGTTGCTGCTGTTGCGGTTGCTGCTGGTGCTGCTGTTCTTGCTCTGTTGGTTGGGCATTGGCCATGGTTACATCCTGGCTACCGGCGTGGCTGTCACTGCTTCCTTCACCATTGCCTGCCTCATCCTTATTCTGATCTGATGACGCCGGTTCCTCCTTGTTCAGTAACCTGACCTGGAAATTCTTGACGTGGAATGTCGGTACAGCGGGTTCAAACCGGGACAATCGGCAAATCTTGCCGGTCACTTCAAGGAATGCGTCTGGGTCACGCAAAGCGACGTGGCCGTTGGTACGGACGAGCTGGTTGATATCCATGTTGCGTGGTCGTGGAATCGTAAACCAAGTAGTGATCAGTTCTTCCATGCTCTGTTCTACGATGGGCTTGCTCTCAATAATGTGACGCAAAATAAGCATAATGAAGGCTTGCTGTCCTTGAAGACCCTCGAGACTGTGACGCGGCTTGGTGAACAACAACGGCAAGCCACCAAACTCGACAAATTGCAATGCTGCTTCGTTGTACTTTGTCAGGCGTACCAAAATGCGAAGAATGGCATATATGTCGTTACGCGAGAGTTGTGTCTTTTTTAGGAACGAAACACAGTTGGATAACAGTTGTGTTCGTTGGTCGGCAGACACCACAGGTTCAGGTTCGGATTCCATAGGCTTGGGATCGACAGGTGCAGTTGCTGTTGTTGTTGAGCTTGAAACAGGCCCTTCGGTGGCTTCTCCCATCGTTTCATCCTCATCGTGAACATTTTCGTTGGCATTATCGTTTTCATCAGTCGGTTTTGGCATAGGCTTGAGCTTGACGTCCTTGGGCTCATCAGCTTGTGAAATAAATGTTTCGATGACTAAGAAGACAGTTGTGAGCCAAGCAGGCAATGGCATCTCGACCGATGTTTCACTGGCCTTGTTCACCATATCAAACAGGAACGATAACCGTGGGGCGCATTCGGGGATACTAGATTGCATCGACTGTTCACGGAAAAGCAAAGCCAACAAACGCAAGCGAGTGCTGAGAACGTTTGATTCGTTCATCTTTCGTCGTGCATCATCGATCTTCTGGATCAACAAAGTCAGAATCTCTTCAGCAACCTTGTTCTCGTCTTGCTGCTGCTGATTGTCGCCGTTCTTGGACTTGCCATTCTTGCAGAAAGTGACCAATAAGTCTCGGACATCAAAGATGACATCTTCGCGTTTATCAACAAGGTCCAACACCAATGGAGGAATTTCTGTTTTCATACTCGACCGAATCTTTTGGAGTTCCTTCACCTCGTCAGACGCTGGTTCCGCTCGTTGTTTACCCTTGTCATTGTTGCCGTTATTATCATCAACAGCAGCAGCCTCGTCGGTATATTCTTGGGAAGCTTGTTGTGGAGGAGCAGGGTCAGCATCCAATCGAGCAGAGAACACACTTTCGTAATCTTCGTCGGCATCTTCAAGGTCGCTGTCTTCTTCAATGTCGTCGTTATTGGTCGGATATTGTTGTTGTTGTTGTTGATCTTGAGCATCTGAAGAGCGAGTTGCAGTGTTATCACCACTGTTGTTTGCATCGTCGGTACCAGCAGTAGCCGCATTTGAACCTTCGTTATTACTCGTGTTGTTGTTTTGCTCACCAGCACCTTGAGCGCCACCACCGCTACTGCCAGCACCAGTGCCAGCACCCATCATCTGAGCAGGGTGGCTGAACAAATAGTCGACGGCGCGCGAGATCTGGTTATTGCATCGAACCATAGCATGCTCGGCAGCAGATCGAAGAAAGCCCATGTCCACAAGTCTTTGCACACCACGCTCGTCTGCAACAACAGGCGTACGCAACAGTGTAAACGGCGACGTGATAGGAGCTGTTGTTGAAGACATTGCGTTATACGAATCGGTCTTAAGGCTCGACTCACCTTCACCCTTGATAATTTCCAAAATAATATCGAGCAGTACATGGATGACAGTTTGCGAATACTCGCTCAAATCAGGAGCATGCAAATATTGTTTGACAGACGAGAGCTTGAGCTGCATAGAAATGCTCCATTCATACGGATCAAAGTAATCAGGGGATTTACGTTCTTTAACCACGATCGGTACTGTGTACGGTGAGTCGTGTAAGAGTTTGGGTGAGCCAGTGTATACCAACACAGTCAATAACATCTCGAGACTGCCTTGAATACGAGACAATAAATCCATTTGTTCTTTGGACCGAGATTCTTTGATCGGTGCAGCAGTATGGATGGCAGACGCCGCCTTCCAATTTTCGTCCAGGCTCTGCAACAGTAAATCAGTACCTCCTTGTCGATCAAACGTTAGCGCCATGGGTGTATGCAATGACGGTTGCGGGCGATCATCCATCAATAGTAATGAGACCATCGTATACATTGTGGCAAGATAGTCGTATTTGCACGGTGGAGCATCGTTCATAGTTGCACATGACCATGTAAGGTTTTCTTTCAAAAGCTGCGACATGCAGTTTGCTAGCTTGAATGTTTGAGCCTTTTGAGCGGCATCCACATTAGCACGACGACTCGTTGACGCTTTGACAAGTCCTGTTTCATATATAAAAATGAGTAACTTGCCCAATCCCCTTCTAATTTTCTGAACAAATCAAACTCCATGTACAACAATTTTTCTTTGTCATTTCACCTTGAAAAACGGGCATGAGGAACTGGGGGATGTCACCAAGAAGTAGTTTAAAGTGCTTGATGTTTTGCATTCGCGGGTCATTTGCATCTGGAACCTTTTCTTCGGCCTTGTCCTTCTGTTCACCTGATGCGCCTTCTTTGTTCGGTGCCGAAGGAGAGGACGAAGATGGTGCTTCTTCTTGCGAAGAGGACTGCAGTGCGTCATCCTGAGCGCCGTCTACGCCAAATATACCCAGTGGATGGTCTGCCACAGTATTCTTGTTCTTCTTGGCCATCTTGAAAGCATACCACGAGCTTGGCATGGAATCTTTGAGCAAAAAGTTCTCCCACATCATGATTCTAATGATAGACAATGGGAAAATATCAGCAATCACGGTATTCTCTTTATAATGGACTAATGATACTAACCGATGCAATTGACCTAGCAGGAGGATAATGTTGTTGTCTTCGTTTTCAGCCATGAACTCAGCAACGAGTGAGCTGGCATTCTTTCCGGGCGATAAACCAGCGGAGCAGCAAATGTTGGATAAAAGGCCAATATAGCCATGCAGGATGATCAATTGTCTGAAAATCTCATTACCCTTTTGGATCTTTTCAGTTTCATTTTCTAAAAAAGTAAGTTTATTTTGCCAAGTTAGTTTTATGCATCTTATATCATAGCAACAGACTAAAATCTCTCTAACCCCTGTGTTCAGACATACCTTTCACTTCAATGTAGGGCTGGACCATGCTCCGTCGCCGTAAGTCTTTATCCTCGGTTATGAGCTTGATGGAGTGCTTGGCTTTCTCTGCGATCGCCAAGATGGTTGGAAGTGTGCTGGTCTCGCTAATCATCTTGAAGATGTATGCAAGCGAGTCGGAGGCGATTGTCACTGAGAAATCCGCAGGCAGCAGTGGAAGTGTGTAGTAATCCAAGAGGATCTCTGGACATCCGTCCTGAACGAAATCTCGGATATTGGCTGCATTTTGGAAAAGACCCTCCAAGAACTAGATAATATTTATCATGAGCGTCAGTTTTATTGCACAAAATCCAGTTAATACCCTTGTGAGGAAGATGTAACTTACCCGTGCAACCATATCGATAAATGACACCAATAAACATTCTGGCTTTTCGTCCTTTTTGCTATCGTCTGAAGTTAAAGTAGACGTCTTGTCGTTGTTGCTGGCACTTGCCATTTCCACGTCTTCGGAAGAGCTTGTTGCTGGAGGAACAACAGCATTCGTATCAGCAGGCATCAATTTCAACAAATGAGTGTCGTCGTTTGGCTTGCCAATATCACTCTTGCCCATCTCGACCACCTTTCGGATCATGCGTGCCACACATTCAAACACTGCAGGTCTTAGGGAAGGATGATGTCGCGTCAGCTCGTCCATGGTACTACCCAATGCCGTTGCATTGTCTACCTCTGTAGGGTTGCGAAGAAACTCGTGCTCGGTCAACAAGTCGAAAAAGTGCGGCAAAGGCTTTGCCTTGTTGAACATTTCGAGGCCCGGTGGGTTCAAGCAGATAGCACCGAATGCGTTGACCGATGCCATAAGCATTTCGCTGTTGGGAGTGTTGTATTTGCAAATGGTCTCCAAAAACGTCTGAGGCAGTTTGACTTCTTGTAAGATTGGTAATGATGTCGGCTCCGTGTGGATAAATGTCGTCATGATATTGATTGCTATACACAAACAATTGTGAAGCCCGTTCCATTCAGCAAAATTATCGCCAAATAAATCCATCAAATGCATGATACTTACCAAGTGTCAACACGCTCACGCCAAAAATGTCTGGGTGAGCGATGATTTGTATTAAAGTCTGTGGTACCGAAGACTCGATCAGATTCCGAAGACCATCGGCTGTGCCTGAAGATTCCATCATTCGTAATAGGAATTTGAGCATCGACTTGAGTGCTGAAATCCGATCATAAGGCGCGAGAGCTCCGGGTGCGACATGGATGGTTGCTTGGCCGGTAACCTCAGAGTCATTGGATTTCGCGAATTTTATGCATTGCTCTGTCTCGCTCTAAAATAATAAATGCACATCAGTTACACAACTCCCTTTTATACCAAGAAATCCACGTCCTTCTCCTTACTTACCTTGATTCTGGCCAATAAGGTGTCCAATCCTCCGGCATTACAGAAAGCCGAGAAAGAAGTCGTATATGCATTCACTATTGCATCCAAAAGGCCCACCACCTTTGAAACAAACTGAAAAATTGTATATGAATATCAATATACGTGCTCCCAAAACGTTTCGTTGCCTGCATCCTGGATACTATATAGCATAGTACTAACCTTAGTATAAATACATTGCTGATTTCCCAGGATCTGTACAAGAATTGGTATAATTCCTGCCGAAATAAGCATTTGTCCACCAGGTTGATTTGTCAAAAGACATGACATTAACGTAAACAAAGCGTCGAGGAAGCTTCGTGGATGGACTAATATGGTAAACGGTAGCAATAGAAAGAAGTTAGAGTTGTCAAAAGTAAGCTCGACATTTTAACTGTTGAGACCTAATGAAAAAAGAGCTACTAACCATTTGTCGAGTCTTGACTGATTTTGCGCAATATTTGTAACAGTACACCATGGTTTGCCGAAGCGTTTAGCGCAGTGAGGACTTCTGAAAGTTTCCCACGGTGCCGTGCGACACCATCCAGCGCACAAAGCGCATACACTTGCATCGTCTATATTAGATAGCACGAATTCCACATAAGTTGACCATATTTTCTCTTGCCTTGCTTTTCTTTTCTTAAAAATATACGTACATTTGGCATCTCCTTTTCTGGATGAATTAGCTCAGCGATATTAGCCACAAGATGCGGTTCGTAAACGAACACTTTGTTTTGGGCAGTCGTCTCGGATACCGTGTGTGCTAAATCAGTAAAATAAATTGTTCAGTTTCTTCCTACGTCCTTCTTTCATCCTTTCTCTCCTATGATCATCTCCTCCAGATCCTTACCCATGATGGCAATCGCCAAAATCCGGATGGTCAACAATTTTCTTCTCTCTTCTGGGTTGGCAATATGCCGAGTAATCCGGATCTGGTTCGCCAGCTCAAACTGGTAATCCTTTGGTATATTATGCTCGTTCACCAGATCTTTAAACACTTGAATGTCACTCTTTTCCTTTTCCGACGCCATTTGTGCCGTGAGTAAGTTAAAACCTTCATCGTTCTTAACTGCTAATGCCGTGCTTGTATCTGTGGATGCTGCTGTTGTTGTTGCTGCTGGTGGTGGTGCTTGTGCGGATGAAGATGATGATGAGGATGGTACTGCGGCGGTGGTGGTGGCGGCATTTGCTGCTGCTGTGTTGGTGGTGTCTGTCGTCGTTGTATCTTTTTGTTGGTTGTCATTGTCATCGGTCTGCTGCAGAGTACGGTAAAAACGAAATTTGAGATGCGTCATGTCCTCCGTAGCCACAAAACTGTCCTTGCATATATCCAGAAAGTCGCTTTGAATGCCCCAACCACGAGCAAGCTCAATAATCTTGTCCTGCGGCGTGACAAACGATGACCGAATCGCTCGTGGGTTATTTACACGCTGCGCTGGCCGTAATGTGAACCGCAGCACTGCTTCCAATACATCAATATCCGTCGTATTGATAAGAGCATTCATATGCTACATTCATATATCAAATCGTCAAATTGCTTAGTCACGATAATATAAGTGATGTATCAATTTCTCATATACCTCATAAGAGTTGTAAATGTTTCTGTTTGTACAATTTTCAAACAAGGTCGTTGAAAGATTAGCAACGGCAACAAGCAAGTCTTTGGTGTTGGCGTCAAAGTCTCGAGATTGCATATGCTCCTGAAGATCGTATTCGTCACAAGTGCGTTGCAGAATGCCATCGAAGCGATTGAGAACGCCCACCCAATGAAACAGATCTCCTCGAGGGTATGTCCAATCCTTGATTTGTGCTGCATTTTTTGGAATCTGTACTTCTGGGTCATGCTCAAGACTCTTGATCAAGTCGCGCAGCGGTCGTGGCTAATCCATACATAACATGGATCTTGAATTAAAAAATGATCGAACCAAGCAACCGAATTCTTCAGTTGAATCAACTTCTTATTTCCACTTACAACTGCTACAAGCTTCTTCGAAGGTGTCTTTCTGATCTTCATGATCCAAGACTATATTTGAATGAGTGTATAAAAAAAAGAGAGAAAGAGACAAGGGAAAGCGTCACGTCGTAAGTTAGTTAGCACCGACTGCTGTCCCGAACTTTAAAGATCCCTGTGGAAACCCTTTATTTCTTTCGGCACCACCGAAAAGAGAATAACAAAAGTGCTCAATTTCCCCTTTAACGCTCACCTATATATACAGATCGTGGTGGTAATTTCTCAGGTAACTCTCGTTATGTCCAGTTCAAGAAGGAAGGGGAAGACTAGGTAAGTTGGTAGGAGAGGTGACAAAGAAAAAGAGAGAGTTGCGTTTCGCAGTGTACGTCATTCGAACCCGCTTATTGAAAATGCTCGACGGGGAATGAATTCGGTGCACTATAAACTGCGAAAATTGTCACACGAAGCCTGTTCTAGTGCTATTAACCCAAGCGCCAATGCATAAACGAGAGCGCGATGAGCGGAACAGCTGTCCCCTCGGAAGAGAAGCGACGTGAACTGACTACAACTGCAAAATGTTACCATTGTTAGCTTAGGCAAGCGTCAGCATTATACTAGGTTTTACTAATGGATATCCAAAGGAAACGACTCTGTTATTTAATAAAACATATGTGTAGCAGTAAGCGCACGCAGTAAATTTAAAAGAATCGGGTACCTTGGCTGCAAATCCAGCATTTACAGATAATGATGAATAATTAGCGGCGCGCTTTCTTTTTTGTACGCCTCCATACCACGAGGGGCACACTAAACGATAACTCACCCCACACCCTAATAAAGTTTGTACTTCACCTTCTTCGTCACTGCTAATGTTGCAGCACTATCGAGCTGCCCTTAGTAGTAGTAGCGTATGTAAACTTTGCATCCTTACATTCAATTTTTTTAAAACTTTTGCATAGTGCTCTCGTGCTGAGTAAGATAGCAAATTAGTACTTCGCAAGGACATTTATTAGCTCTACGTAACTTTCCTCAAGCACCGCATATACATAATGCCGGTTGTGCCTGTTGCGTGCTTTTACAAATAGAAACGCTTCTTGTTGCTTCTTTCAGATTATCAAATCCATTGAACTATATGTACTTCTGTCACTTTACTGAAACGGATTAGACGCCCCTGCGCGCAAACAAACATCATCCAGCCTACTGCCACCTGTATAGTCTCGACTGCTTGTGAAACATCACGCGCTATCGGCTTACTTTTTTGTAGTTTCACAGGTTCTACTTTTTTTTTTCTGACCCTCCATCAATATGCATAGAATCCGCACTTTGAAAGTTCTCTAACCAAAATTTAGAATTCCTTACATTCACTACCAGCTGCCAACTCGACTGCTCGCTGCAGCTAACGTAAAAAGGTTTCTCAAAATCCGGATATACATCCTTTGCTTCCCATACCATCAGTGGGATGACTTGAGTTGTGTTAAGATAATCCAACAAAATACGATATATTTATAAGGTATTGTAGGGGGATGAAAAGCTTTTAAACTACAATATGCTCAATTCAACCCTATAGCACGTTACTGGTAAATGTAAACTACTAGTACCGCTGCTGATACGAGTTTTTCATGCAAAAAACCTAAATTCCCTCCCTCTGGCGAGCTGCTTTCTGTAATAAACCATAACATCCGGAGTCTTCTTGGCTGCAATCTGTCTGCCTTCCTCCATTGTCACTTCAGCTATTCAGTGGAAGAGGGAAATTTGAATAAGAGTTACCATCGGCACTGTGTTACATGCAGCAAAGCTCACTCTATCTATGTATACTTACGCGACAAAGGGGTAGGAGGCTGCTCTCGAATTTGACCATTAGGTAGAACCATCAATGTTTGTGCTATAAGTTCATAAGCATTAGCGCAAAGAAACCGAGAAAAGAGTAACCACGAGCTAACATGGGGGTCTTTAACACTCATATCAGAACATACTGTTTTGTGTTTCATCTTCGATTAACAACATTACAACCTTAACAAATGTCTCGGCTGTTGTTATGTGCAATGCGCAAAACCTTTTCAGTGAAGCGTTTGCCTTGGCTTTCCTTCTGTCTTAGATCAATAACCGATTCCGTATCTAGTTATCACCGGCACAGGAAAATTATTTGTGTTGGTAATTTTCTCTTGTTGAAAATCAGTAACAGGAATATAACGATCGCGACAAGTATGTAGTAAAGGCATGAAGATATACCATACTTGTATTCATGAGGAACAAACGCGAGAATTAAATTCAGAATGTGTACCTTTGGTCTGCTAGTTGCGAAGTGTTGTTTGGGAACATGATGCAAACTTACTAATTAAACAGTCAAAACTCAACGAGATGTACTGTGAAAGAAATTCTTGAAAAGCTAGGATGGCTAACTCGGTCGCACTTCTATACCTACTACCAGGCTTACTATTGTGAAAAGTCATTATTGAACTATAAACATTTGTACGTGTTTTTTTTTCATACTACATTTGCTATAGGATTACCTGCGACCGGCCCAGCCGCGTTAAAACGGGTACCTAGGGGTTACTCAGATGCTACACGGCAATAAACCCTGAGAATTGTCACATCGAAGATGCTTCTCCTAATGTTAGTCTATAATCTTCTTCCTTTGTAAATATGTGCCAAAGACAGCACAGTCTCGTAGATGCTTATGTGTAAATGTTCAATAAAAATAAACTACTAGCTATTCTTGTTTCTTGCATAGTACTTCTTAGTGACTGTAGAATTACTATTCTAGTTTTTCAGTAATGGTGGACACTACAAAAACGATATCTAGGATGGGTACTAGGTTGTATTCACGGGACTTACTGTCTACACAAAAAAAGGTTATGTACACATGAATATATCGCAGTTCAATTTGAAGGATTGATGTATGAACAATCCAGTTACACTTTTATTTTTGTATTTAATGCTGTATATCTTCAACCTAATGTAAGCTACATTTGTCACAATTTCCACACTTGCTGCCACTTGATTTATGCTGTCACACAGTGAAGGTTGACGACCCAGTGCTGTCGCAACTCTGGCTTGCTTGGGATATTGCCAAATCAGATCAGACATTGCCAAGCCGGCATAGTCGCCCAAAAGCCTTTGCCTTCTGCGTTTAATTGCCGTCACTTTCATAGCCGCACAGTAGTTTCCACATGATAGATTGTTGTTGCTAACTTTGAAAGCTGCCACGCTTTGTTGTTTTTGTAGCCATAAGCAGAGATAAATAAGAGTCGCATACTTGAAGAGCACGTTGCTGACCAGCTTGCATAGTTATCATACGTGCTGCTGCCAACTTTTATCATCATGTCCTTTGCTTCACATCGCCACCATATTGAAAGATGTCGTCTCAAGTGTCATTGTTCTGTAGCCACCTTATTGATTTGATAATGATTCACTGGATACTTGACATATTTTACTGTTTCCGATTTCAAGTACCCTTGTCTTTTGTCTCTTGTGGACGTTACATTAAATTTCAATGCCAAACCCATCTTTCTGCTGCGTTGTTGTTGTTGCCACAAGTTCTCGTCATAAAAAGAGATGCATAAGCATTGTTTCATTTCGTTGAATTGACGTTGATTATTTTGATGGAAAAAGATCATGTAAATTCTTAAACAGCATTCACCAGAACATTACAAACAGCGTGGTAAATCCCGCATGAGCGCACCCATCCGACAACACCGAATTTAGACGCACAGTAGATGTCTACAGCTCTAATGTTCTCACATTTAAAATAAAAATCATCATCATCATCATCATTGTCCTAAAATACCAGATGGAAAATATTAACAACAAATAAAATCTTACGGTGTTCCACTAAGACCAGCGGCTGATGCCAAGTTGATGATAACGCCTCCAGTTCGTTTGGCAAGATGAAGCATAGCGACTTTGTTTCCCATGATTAATGCTGTTGTATTTATTGCCATCATCCGCTCATCCATTTCATTTATATTTACCAGACATCTGTTAGTAAGTCGCATTTTCTCCTATAAGCAAATCATATTTGAGTAATTTATGAACCCGTCATCGACGGCGCGTACTGTACCATCAAGAAGCATAAATATTGTGTTTGCCTTGCTTCCAATTTCAGCGGTAAAGTTAGCACTCTTATATCGTAAAATACAATGATACGCTGTTGTTATAACGAGGACCTCTGTTGATTGATTTGCAGTGATAGCATATATACACACAATAACGCCACCAAACTGTTTTTCGGCCAACTAAAAAAGGGCGGCATTGTTGCTATACTTTGTAACATCGGTATGGACGTATGCGGCAACCTGATCGCTTTGATAGTAAATCCATCAGGTTATTAACAAACGTATCGATAATTTTACATATTTTCCATAATTCGTAGACTTTTATACCAACCCAGCAAGATCATTAAGCTCACGCACGGTCACGTCTCCTTTGGAATCAAGGATATCTCCAATGACAACTTTGGCTCCTTGTTAACCAGCTCCGTAGCTATCGCTTTACCTATATTCGGCTTGCTCCCGTAATTACTACTACTTTTCCTGCAAAAGGCTTTTCACCAACTGTCATTTTAATCTTGGTAGTATGAAGGTATTAATGGTATTCGATTCAAACTGCTATTAGTGCTAAACAAGGGAATCCGGAAGAAGAAGAAGAAGAAAGAAAGGGAGCTAAAAACCCCCAAGTACTTCTCGATGCTTTTGCATAATAGAAAGAAGCTTAGTCTATCTCGCTACTGTGGGAACAAAAGGCTCTCGTGATTGTATAAAAGAATACACACAGCAGATTGAGAGACCACGTAACTATGTACAGCAGCACGTTCATCATGCTGCTACAGTAGCCATTGCAAGAAGTCTGTATTCTATTATACGGTACTCTTGCGATGTAATTATATACTCTTATTCCATTTTCTGAGCAAGTGGTAGATATGGTGGAATCATTCTTTTGCTTTGGTACATAGAAGGCATTGTAGTATTGATAGTGTGAGAAACATATTGATCATCATCGTTCTGAGATATGTCGTTTCCTTACCATACAAACCGCCCTCTTACAGTGATACTGTATCATAGCTCCATTCCTAATGTTACCTCTTATGAAGGCTACTCTGACTACTACTTCACATCCAAACATCTTTGTACAAAGTGTAGTTTTATGGCTCATTATGTATAACGATGTAGCCCAGGATAACTGCTTTGCAATTTATGATGTCAAAGTATTGTGTGATATACAGAAGAAGAGTTGCGTTGCAGGTACCTTACTTGAAAATATAGCCACACTTTAGCTCCTAATCCTTTCGCTTTCATTTAACATCAGTATTGACATACTACATACATGGTGAGCCTTTGGCAGTCGTTCTTCGGAAACTCACATATGGTTACAAACACTGATTTTCTTTTCGTTGAAAAAAACATCATTTATGTTTGTACTGAATTTAGAGCTTTATTTGTAATTATATATATATGCATTTCTAATCTAGGTGATGTTTTGACTTGAGTACTTATAAAAAGAGTCGTGTAGTCCTGCAGCTGTTAGTAAGTTCACGTCCTAAGTAATGATAGCCCCCTGTTCTTTTTTGTTTTTTTTTTTGAGCCACGAACCGTATTTTCGCATTTCCTAGTTGATCATCTTGACTTCGCTCTTTTGCATAGACGGCGTTGTCCTGAGTTGCGACTTGAAAGTTGAACTCCTATGCTTCGAATCTATGTCTTGCACTGATGATCGTTGAGGTTATTTTGGCGATGGAAATAGTCTTAGACCTAAACAGATGAACGTCAAAGAGCTTTTTATGTTAGATAGTGACGATTAGATGAAATTTGAGCACCTGTTGCTGTTTTCTGTTTGTACGTACTGTCAATATTACCAATCCCTTCGCTCGTCCTGTGCAGTTTAACTTGATGGCGTGTTCGTGTTGGCCATGGCTTGACGTTGTTTTTGTGTATGATGTGGATAATAGAATTGGCTGTTCTGCGTGTTGATTTCTCTTTGTTTTGTTGATGGTATCTAAATATGCTTGTATAACATATCTGTCAAGACTTGTTTTAACGCTGCTGTTGTGCGTGTGATATGAATAAGCCCATTCGATGATACGACTGATGTCCTCTTTTGTGTGCCTTCTTGGCCTCGTGCTCCATCAAACGTCAGTGACGCCTTTTCGTTTCGCGACACTGGCTTTTGCTTCTTCCATTGCCTTGAGCTTCGCGTTTTGTGTCACGGACTTGGTTTTGCTGATTACTGTATATTTTTCTAAACTAAGACTAACACTACTTTTTTTTTTTCGATTTCTTGCTTTTTTTGGGGGGGCCATCATTACATAGAAAATAACTTACTAGCAATCTGTCAGACAAAGAATAGGTGTATATTTTGGCGGATCTTGATTTGTGGAAAGAGACCTTCACTAATAAAGAAGATAGAGTAAAATCACAGTGAGCACAAGTGTTTACAAAAGTAATGAGCATAAAGTGCGTTGGGTTTCCTTACCACGATACTACTATACGTGATTGTTCTCCTTTTTGATTTGCACTATCATTCACGACTGGAATAGAGACTGCCACCATCTCTCTCTAGTGATGTTTCTTGTTGCTGCCAACGCATGACAAGGAAAGGATGATAACAAGTGTCCTTCCTTGTCTGCATCATGCCCGGCTACACTGGTCGCTGTTTTCACTACTAGATTCATTTGAGCTTGATAAGTATGTATTCCCAGTGGTACTAATTGCATCATATTTCTGTTTCAGCCTCACATCATCGACATTCAAATTACCTGTTAGTCTCCTACTATGATTGTATTGCTGCCGTAAACCAATGAGTATGCTTGGAAGTCCATAGTGTGTAGATCTTGATCACATGTCTTGTCTTGTTCTTCTGTGCATCAAGAGACCTTGATTGTTTCCCTCGTCGTGTAGTGGTTTCGGACGCGCTTTAATGTTCGTTGCTTGCTTGTTGTTGTATATTTGACAGTTGTATATGAATGACGAGCCAGCTTCGTTCGGCCATTGATATTGTGAAAGTGCCGTCGTGTCGTTCCATCATTCACTTGCTGATACTGTCCTTAGAGGCAATGTCTTGTTTGATGCCCTTGGGCGGTTTTTTTTGTTTTTGCTGCCACTGCCTGCTGCTTGTTCATTTGCCACCGTGTTACATAGACCCACCAAAGCAGAAAGGATACTGGCTAATATGAATACTGGCTTGTTCAAAAAGCTCTGAGCATTGCTGTCCGTGATATCCCTGCTGCACATACCGATGTTTTTTATGACTCTTCATCGCCGACTTTTTGTGCCACCTTTGCCGCCTTGTTTACTAAGAGGAGATGTATATAAGTATCATTCCCTGTTTAATTAAGTATTGGCCTGATCAAATAGTCACGTACTGTACACTTACTATTATTATGTATCCACTAAACGGTCGTGTGAAATGTTGTCAGTTTCACCTAAATCTTGCTGATGCTTTTGCCTTTTGCTGTCATTGCTTTTGTGCGATTCATGTCGCTCGCGTTTGTTGTCAATTCTGCCTTTTTATAGCTTGCAACTGTTGATGAAAGCTTTGGTCTTGTTGTCATTTCGAATGTGTCGTCAATGTTGCTTTTTTCTGTCGTTTGAGTTTTGTACTCCTTGCTGCCCTGTAGATTTGTCACCATTTCCGCCCTTGCTACTGCTTGATTTGTGCTGTCACACAGTGTAAAATCGATTGACCCTGTGTTGCCGCCTAAATTGTTGATGCCATGAGTATTCCCGCCGTATATGTGGTGTAATAACTCTGGTTCGCCAAGATAACGTCATATCATATCGTGCATTGCCTAGCTCTCGTAATTCCTTGTCGCTTTTGCTTCTTGTGTGTGATTGCCGCCACATCGGTAGCCACAGGTTATCTGCCAACAGACAATACTGTTCTTGGTTTGATTGAAGGTTGTTGCTCTCTGTTGTTTTCGTTGTCATAAGCAGAGATAAACAAAAGTTGCCATCTTTGGAGGAAAAAAACATCGTTGACCAGCTTGACAAGCTATCATACGTGCTGTTGCCGACTTCCAACTTCATGTCCTATGCTTCCAATAGCCACCATATTAAAAGATGTCTCCTCGAATGTCGTTTGTTTTGTTGCCACCTTATTGATTTCCGACGGACTGAAATAATTGCCATATTCCACTGTTGTCGATTTTTTTGACCAGCTCAGAATTTCTTACATGCCGATGTCCACAGGTCAGCGACTGCTGTCCAATTCGCGCAAAAGACACGTGTCGTCTTTTTGTCTCGGTCGTTTTGTCCACCCACAATAGTTGATGTCAGAGTTTGTACACGACGACTTGCAGTTAATTCGCCCATGCAAGTTTTGAATGTATGTACCGCCTTTTGATGAGGATCTTGAGTGCAGATACCCGCATCCGTTTGAAAAGTACTTGTCGCCATAGCATCACCAGTAGATAGTAAATCTGCTCCTTCCCTAGTATGTCGATTCGTCGTTTGAATGGATGTTGCTTGTCCTTGGACGCACGCTTGTTCGATGTCGTTGTCGCTGTCGTTGGTGTTGTTGTAATGATCAAGAACGTCAGATCAGAAAAAAACCGTCAAAGAAATTTCGCATGTTGTGTATTTGATAATGTGCTGCCAATAGACTGATCAAGCCAAAGACGGAATTCTGCCAATCCTCGATTCGAAACCAAGCCCCGGAAATCTGTTGCCACCTGTATCGGCATAACCACCATGACTGCTCGTCAGATACGTCCACCAATACCATAGGAGACGGCATGGTCAAGCCAAAGACGGGATTCTGTCTATCCTCGAACCGACACCAAGTAAAAGAGGTTGTTTTTACTCGGCTAGCCTGGAAATCTGACGCTACCCGTAGCAGCATAGTCACCATGACTTTCCGTCAGATTCATCCACTAAGACCACATGAGATGGCATAATCAAGCCAAAGACGGGATTCTGTCAATCCTCGTTTCGAAACCAAGCCCTGGAAGTCTGACGCCACCTGTAGCAGCATAATCACCATGATTCATCCACCAACACCACACGAGACGATGTGATCAAGCCAAAGACGGGATTCTCACAACACCCCGAAGTTTTTACTCGGCTAGCCTGGAAAGCTGACACTTTCCATCGCGGCGTACCACACACACCGCTGGCCAAACACCCCAGTCCGGACACCCCAGCTTCAGGAATCCCCAAGGCAAAGGTGAAGGAAGGAGTTGGACTTACATGACATGACACTGACTACAACCGGTGGGGGATCCAGGACATGGAAAGGGCGAGGATAACTCCGGTTGAGCGGGTGGCGGGGATTGGAGGAACAACATTGCCCTGGTACAGGTAGGACTTCTGCAGGAACACCATCCACATGAGCTGGAACTGACTGGAATGACAACCCTGGGAAAGGAATAAATTCCTTAAGTTTCTAGTAGCCTTCTTCAAACCACATCCGAGTTGAATGCAGTACGAAGAAGGAAAGAATGAAAGGAAAAAGGATATATCAGTTAGTAAGCCTCTTCTTATAAAGATGGTTGTAGGTATTAAAGAAAGCACAGTACGTACCGTAAATATACAAGCTCGGCGCCTTGGGTTGTCATTTGCTGTCAAGAATCGCCGCTGTACATGTGACACGATGGTATATTCCTGCTGCCTACACAACCAGAGCGTTGTTCCCCTCCCCACCACCGGCTCTACCATCATCGCTATCCCCATGTGCCCCCCCACATCCCTTCAACCCCCGGTGGCTGTAGCAGTGCCACTGCCACTGCCAACTCAATCCTGCCTTTACCTCGAAGAAACATCCACTGGGATGGCCGGACCGCTCCCCAACGCCCGACGAAGGCGGAAACCGCCAGACACCACCGAACAACAGAGTACGCTCTACTTGAAACGAGATGATAATATTATTGGTTAGTATTCTATGCAGATCAAGCAAATAGGGCTCAACACAAGATCGAATATTTACCCCAGCAGAACGCACGCAAACAGACACCGGAAAACAAGAAGAAAAAAAGCGGAGCAAATGGAGACGACGGCAGTAACGGCGGAAAGTGATGGACAGCACCAGGAAAAAGGGACGAAGACAGCATAAGTGGCATAGGTGGCATAGGTGGGCATAGGTGGCATAGTGCGCGGAATTCGTCCTTCGCGGCTTTCTCTTCGTCGTACGTTTGCGCGGCATCGTCCTTCGCGGCTTTGGCGTCGTACTCGTGCGCGGAATTCGTCGTCCTTCGCGGCTTCGGCGTCGTACTTGTGCGCGGAATGCGTCGTCCTTCGCGGCTTTCTCGTCGTCGTACTTTGCGCGGCACCTCCCTCGCGGCTTTGGCGTCGTACTCGTGCGCGGAATTCGTCGTCCTTCGCGGCTTTCTCGTCGTCGTACTTTGCGCGGCATCGACCTTCGCGGCTTCGGCGTCGTACTTGTGCGCGGAATGCGTCGTCCTTCGCGGCTTTCTCGTCGTCGTACTTTTTTTCTGTTCAGGCGCGCTCTGTGGCAGCACCTAGCTCCTGATCATCATCAGATCGAGGAGGAGGCGGGGAGGGACGCGGCGAGGAATCGGGACAGAGGTAGGGTAGGAGCGACATGAGCGAGAATGTAATCGGAGGCAAGGGATGGAAGTGGTTGATGAGCTTCCACAAGACGAACGCAACGAAAAGCACAACTATGCAAGCCAGAAGAGCAGCAAGCTTGGCAACAAA